CCCCCAGACTTTTGCTGGGCGGCCCGACCGGACCCGACCGGACACGGGCAGCGAGCGCCACCTCCAGTCTACATCTGCACGCGACCCTCCCATTTGGCCCCGGCCCGCCCTTTCTGCCGCCTCCCCTGCTCCATGCTCGCCTTGCTCTTTCTCTTCCGCAGCCCTTCCGCGTGCCTTGCCATCGTACGTGGCGGTGCCAACACACACACAGACACACATACACACACCCGCCCACACTCACACACACACACACACCCGCCGGCCCGCACTCACACACACACAATACATCAGCGCAGCTGCCCTTGGCTTGGTCTCGGATGCACTCAGGGGACTTCTGAAAACCAGGTGACGTGCTCCTAGTTGCAGATGAAAGAAGCCCTCTGGATGTCTGTGGCTTCAGCTGCAGTGAGGGAGCTTCAGTCCTTCGCCTAACCGCGTCCCTCAGCCCAGTAGCAGATAGCATATCTACCGTTTTCTTTTGGGAATTCGTAAACGTACTATTTTTACGTAATTACATGTTTTCAATTTAAAACTTTGTATGATGTTAGGTATCCCTTCGTTTACACTCCTGACTGTGTGCTATGTAACCTACAAGTAAGGTGGTAAGTGCTGCATAATTTAATTTTTGTGTAATTGTTTGATAATCTTAGCATTATTGAATCTTCTCAGTGATATTTTGCTGATGTTCTCAAGTAGAAAGTGGAATAGTTTTTCTTTATCCAAAGCCAGTGATAATGAGACTTTCCCTGGTTTGTGTATGATTTGTTTCTGATGATGAAATGGAGAAAGTACTCCAACCTAACCCTTTGTAAATTTTTAGGTTGCTCACTCCACTGAAGGATCTGAAAAACAGATTACCGGGAGAAGCAGAAACATTTACTAGGGAAAACTTAGAGGACACAACTCAGGAATGGAATGCAGGAGCTGAGACAAATGAAGGACACTCTATTTTGGAATTGTATGTATTTTAAAATAAAGAGGCTGCTTTTAACCCAGGAAGTGAGTCAAATGGACTAAAAATTATGTGGTCTATCACCCTCTGGGGCCGAATAGTCCGACAATTGCTTACATATCTGAGCAGACCATTCATACCATCCTTGGGCAGCTAGGTCATAAATATGTCACCCCAGATTCCTTCGCCCCTTCAGTACCTATATAAGCTCACTTCCTTTCCCAGTTAATTGCTAATATCTTTCTCCCCTGGTGTTAGCCCATCCTCTCAGAGACGCAATCTTTCCCAGCTAGCTGCCACTGTCTCTCTCCCATTGTCAGTCCATCCACACACGGCTGTGATAAACTCTGCTTTTCCCAGATAGCTGCTAAAATCTCCTTATTTCTAGTCCCTGTTAACTGGAATAAACTTTTTCTCACAAGGAAGAGCCTGTCTTTTGTTTGATTCTGTATAACAGACATATTGAAATTTCACTATCTGTAGTCTTCCTTTTGGTCTGGTGGATTGGCCATTTGCATGTAAAAAGGGAATGGTGGAACCCATTTCAGGTAAATGGCAATTGCCCAGGCTTATTGTGATATGGGAGAAGAAAAAAAGGAAGAAAAAATGAATCAAAACAAACAAAACCCCCCCAAAACGGCTTGTGTGATGACTTGCAGATTTCATTTGTTAAACTATTATTTTCTTTGCCTCCTTTTGATATAGAGAGGATAGATGTAACTCCCAACTTGTTTGATGTCAGATACACTGAGTTCATATTCCCTGAAATCAAAGAATTAATTGTCAGGAACAATGGATGTTAGGAGTAGGAAAAATTATTGGGGAATAGAATAAGAATAAGAATAGCTCCTGAGAGACAGGAAGGTCAGGAATGGGTTGCCAAGGAGCACACTTCTCGAAGGTAGTTTTATATAGCAAAGTTACAAGTGATGTGTACAGTGTGGGTAAAAACTAATCGACCACTAAGATTATAAGTATAGTCGCTTTGGTAATATTGACCCAATAGTAACAAGGGTATATGGATGACATCATTAACCTTGGTCGATAATCTGTAGTCTTAAATCTTTTTAGAGTTAGTAGTCTTAGTCTTAGTGGGTGGAGAAGAATGACTCACCCCCAGTGAGATATACATGTGCCCCCTTTACATAAATCATTAACTCTGACCTTTCCATAAGGCCCCCTCCAATTACACCCCAGTTCCATCACAAAGGGACAGGAAGAACTCAAATGGCCAGAAATAAGGTAGACAGAGATGCCCAAGTTTAGACTCAAAGACAAGGAGAAAGTCAGACGGCAACAACTTCCAGGTGCCCACATGGGGGATCAGAAAATCCAATAGTCCTAAATAGAAAGGAGCTGGGAACAAAACCCCACAAATACTCTTTTCTGATGCCCTCTACTCTCCCAGAGTAACTGTTATCTTTTTTTTTTTTTTCTGTCCTTTTCCAAATAAACCATCTTCCTTTATTTTAAACTCTGCCTCTTGAAGCCAGGCATAGTGGTCCATGATTGTAATCCCAGCACTCAAGAGGCTGAGGCAGGAGGGTCTTCATGAGTTCGAGGCCAGCCTGGGCTACATAGTGAGTTAAAGTCCAGCCTGAACTATGTAGCATAGCAAGATCTTGTCTAAAACAAACTGAAAAGAAAGAAAGAAACAAACAGAAACCTTCCAGCTCTTTAATTCCTTACTGAAGCTGAGAGTTTATGATCCTGGTAATTGTATAGTACATACATCCCACATTGCCACAACACTAAGAGCAGAAACCTGTAATAGAGTTCTTTTTTTTTTTTTTTTGGTACCAGGGATCAAACTGGGGACCTTGTGCTTGCGAGGCAGGTGCCGGAACCACTGAGCTAAATCCCAAGCCTGATTTCTTATTTTTTACATCTTCTCCAATTGAAATTGTAACTGATTTTCTATTTCCATTATATAAATGATAAAGGCATACTCATGCTGAATAGTTGATTTGCACATACATTTATTTACTTCCAAACAATACACAGATCATAGGAGTATAACTTGGTGAACATTTTGGGAAGGCATTTTTAACACTTTTTGTTATAAATCTACAAACCTAATCAGCCATGGTAGTGAATGCCTATAATCCTATTCTGGGAGACACCATAATCAAAAGTTCAAGCTCAGCTTGGGCAATTTCCTGAATTAATAATATCCTGTCTCAGAATTTAAAAAGGTCAGGGGATGTAGCTCAATGTGAAGGCCCTGCCTTCAATTCCTAGTGCTGCAAAAAAAAAACCAAGGTACACGTTATCACTTTTTAATTCTGTTTCTAAATCAAAACACTTAGGTCCAACGGAAATACTTAAATCTGAAAACAATGTCTAAAATAGTTATTATAGTTATATAGTTTAAGACATTCATCAAGATAAGATTATAGAGAAGAATGAAGAATTGAATATCCTCATATAAGGAAAAATGAAACCTAAAATGGCCACACTTTGTTTCAGGCTGGGAAGGGGGGCAGCTTTGGCGGACAATAAGTCCAGAGTCAGTAAAATTCCTAACCTCAGTACTGGTACGAAGTCATTATTGTATGTATAAATCTGGATTGCCGAGGACTATAGCAAATGTGCAGCAGTGGCTAAGAACAGCCAGGAGCCACAAGCACAGGTCAAGGGCCTAAGAACTGCCATGGTGCATGTGGCTGAGCTGAGCAGCTGAGAATAAAGTCATATTCAGACATTTCCATGATTCTGTGTCTCTTCTTCAGGCTGCCTGAATCTCAAGCTCCCCACTCTGAATTGGTGATAAGACAGACATCTTGTAACTGGATTCTGGGGTCCTGCGGGCTCTTTCCAGGTCCTTGGCATCCTCAACAAAGAATTGGACAACAGGTCATGTCCATTTGCTCAGCCGCTTGGCCATGACCTAATCTCCTGCCTCATCCTGGTTCTAACTGTTACTAAAATTCAGCTGTCTTTTGAATTTGAGTATTGTTTTGCAACATTCTAGGCGCCTTCCATTTTTTTTTTTTTTTTGGCACCGGGGATTGAACTCAGAACCTTGCGCTTTTGAGGCAGGCACCAGCACCACTGAGCTAAATCCCCAGCCCTTGTTTATTTTTTGAGACAGGGTCTAACTCAGTAGTTCAGGCTGGCCTTGAACTCACTATGTAGCCTAGGCTGGCTTTGAACTCATGGCAATCCTCTTGCCTCAGCCTCCAGAGTGCTGTGATTACAGGGGTGCACCACCATGCTGAGCCCCTTCTTTGTTTTTTCTTGTGTTTTGTTTGTCCTACATTAGTTTGGGTGAGATTCCTTTCACTTGCCAAAAATTCTAATGAAAGAGAATTTGTATTTTCATTGAAGGGCAAGGTAGTGAGGAGTATGGCCAATGAAAAGTGTTGTGAAAAGCAATAGGTAGTGTATAGGTAAGGGTTCTCCAGAAAAACAGAACTAAGAAGACGTATAAGAGAATGGGGAAGAAAAGAGAATGGGGAGATAAGGCAATTCAGAAATGGTATGGAGTCAGGGGATTAGGGTGTGGCCAGTTGGCTGAGCAAGTGGGTGTGACCTGTCAATCACAGAGATCTAGGTCCCATGTGCAGAACACAGTAAACAAGCTCTGCACCTGGGAACAATCAGAAAGTGCTATCATCAAGTTTTCTGGCACAAAAATCAAGGGGGTCTCTGATAGGATGGCCCAGATCAGGTATCATCCTGAAGAAAGAGGGATGTAAAAGACCTCTGCTAGCAACTTCATGACCACTGTGAACTCTCTCAGGAGCTCTCTGAAGAGCGTACTTCTTTTCCTTCCTTGAAGAGTCACAGCTTATAGGATGCAATCCTGGGTGGGGGGATAAATAAGAGAGTACAGTTTGGGCAGTGGCACCACTCCCCTTCCGTACACTGAACTTGGGCAACACCACAGGGCCAACCCCCCTCCACTGTCCTAAGAGAGGCAGAAGTAAGAATAACAAAGAACCAGGAAACTCCTAACACTCCAGGCCAAGGTACACGCATGTTAGATACATTGGCATGACCTACAATGACCTTTCCTCACTCGAGATTCATTAACAGTTCGTACATATAAACTGCATATCATGCATGTAATTATAACCAAGTAAATTATAGGGAAGGCCATGTGCAGCAGATACAATTGAGTTGACTTAGCACCCTGTCAATGATATTGTCAGTCATGTCCTGAAAGACCCCATAAGAGATGCCCCTAAGCAGGTGAACATTTTCAAATCCAAAAGCCTATTTTATCCCCAGCCCATTCCCTTCTTCCTACCATGCCTGGGACACTTTTCCTTTCTACCCATGCCATTCTTCCCTTACATCTGAGCTATGCCAGCATGAATCTGCTTGCTCTGAGCATGCCTTGTCCCTTTGAATGTTACTCAACTTTGTTGCTTTTTCCATATCATTGTATGCAGCATCCAGTGCTTTTCTCATTGGACACAAGAACCTGGAAACCTCTTCAAGAACTCCATCCCCCATGGTAACAGGGATTCATGCTCTGTGGAATGGCAAGCTGGGAGCAAGGAAGTGAAGACTCCCAGACAGGTGCCCGAAGAGCTCTTTAATGGAGAACATCTTATAGAGAGGACAGTGGACTCTATGAATCAGAGACTGAGCTGGTTGTGGTTGATTCAGACCCTGTGATTGTGGTTGGGACGGAGAAATTCTAGACAACACCCACCTACTGAGATGTAAATATACACTCCATTACTCTGCAGGCCAAATAACACTCTCCTCGCCTAATCAAGCGGCAAAGGAAGTAGTAAACTGTTCTCAAAACACTGATACTCAGCTTGCCTTTGGGACATACTGAGGTGGAAGATTAGGGCATGGCAAGGAGGCTGGACAGTAGGGTGTGACCTGTCAGTCATGAAGAGCTGGCAAATCATGGAGCAGAACAGCTTCCAATTGTCCAGATCTGAAGTCAGAAGAGAGATATAAAAGACTGCAGCTATTGGCTTCCTTCCACTGGCTTCTTACCCCTACCTGCTCGGTGTGCAGCATATTTTCTCTCTTTTCACTTCTTTTCTCTCTTCTTTTTCACTTCTACTTCTTCCTTCTTTTATCTTCAATAAATGAAAGATATTTGTGTCATTGGTTGTCTCTGTCCAATTCTTTGAATGAGACAAGAGCCTCAAACCACTGGATATCCCATTGTCAGATAGCTATACTATATTGCACTCCACTCCAAAGGTGTAAAACTTTAGGTCAGTGGTTTTGTATCTGAGATGATCATTTAAAAAGACATATACTTTATTTCCGCCTCTTGCCTTGCAAGCACAAGGACCCAAGTTGATCCCCGGTACTGAAAAAAAAAAAAAAATGACATATACTTTAAGTGGGGTGTGGTGGTTCACATCTGTAACTCCAGCGCTCAGGGGGCTGAG